GCTCTACTTACTCTCTCTCAAACTTCCTTCCTTCTTTATCCTCTTTTTACCTATCAAAAGCTTCTGCACAGGCAGAATTCATAACTATGTATTTTGGTATTATCCCATCCTGGCAACATGTGCATTTTACTAGAAGGCTTAATAGGAAAGAAACAAACATGAATTATTAAGGCTTATCATGTGCCAGGTCGGTTCCTACTACGTGTTGCATTATCTAGTCCACTTAGTAATTCTTAATTAGATACAGTTATCTCAGCTTTATGGGAGGAAAAAAAAAAGAAACATAAGAAAATGCTCGTTGGGTGTAATGGAGTGTATGCGGGTGATAGGGAGAAGTGTGGGAATGCCAGGCGAGTCAGAAAAGCATAATGACTCTGCTAATTGCATTCTGAATGTTTTTGATAATTTTGACCACAGTTATGGAACTGAAGTCTTTCTTGACTCTATGTGGGTCTTTTGCCCTCGTTCATAAGAAATTGATGCTGTTGAAAATACTTTACCTTGTCAGTGCCTCCATTTCTTAAAGAGATAGAAGAAAGGTGCTTGCTGAACACACTCTACTAGTCACAGCATTTGTATTGCAGTTGAGATTTTTTTTTTCCTTCTAATGCTGGTGGCCTTGGCTGGGTCATCTCAGGAAAATCAGAGACATCCCCCACTTCCCAATTTTCCTTCTAAGACTCTTCCTTCCTTCTAGTTCAATGCTTCTCGAAGTGGGTATTAAAACTCATAAAAGTAGGAATTATCAAATTACTTGAATCATTTCACTAGGTTAACCTTATTCCTGTTTTCAACTAGTATTGGTCCTTAAATATTCACTATTTCATTTCTAATTCTATGACATTTCAAATTCTTCTTATCCCCTCTTTTTCCCTCTGCTCTTTGAAGTACTCAAATAAAAATTTGAGGGGAAGGTAGGATGGGTAATCTCATATGCTTCTTGGTGAAGATGATTACAATGTGAGAGTTAAGTTCAGGAAAATGAGAGACTCCTGAATCGGATGTTTGCAAATGTATCAATAAACATTCATCTCTACTAGACCCTATTCCAAATAAGGTTTGCTGTTGCTACTATGAAGATACAAATTACATCGTAATGAAATTCTTCAGTTTTTTTTTTCTGCACGTGGAGGCAGAGAAGATAGTTTAAGAACTGCATTTGATTAAATCTACATTTATAAAATAATGATAATATAATAGCAATTCAGTCACCAAGTAATTCAAGCAAAGACAATAAAGCAGACTTTCAACCTGAGAAATGTTAATCAATATTTTAATCAGAAATGATTTATATACAACAATCTGCATTTAAGGAAACACTTGATATGCCCAAAGTCATACCTAACAACATCAAGACTTATTATTTCTGAATTTTCAAACAACCCTTGTAATTGTGTAGGATACCAAAATTTGTAATCTGAAAAAAATACTGATATCACAGAATACTCAGTGAATATCTCATAAAATAACAGAAGCCTAGATTGCATTCATTCACTCAATAAGAAACAATTTTTATTGTACCTGAACGATTCTATTGATAGAAACAATATTTTAAATAATTGAAAACAATTAGCAATAAACTAATTAAGTCCTTTTCAAAGCATCATTTTTCATCACTTCAGAAGATCTGAGTGTTTGAGAGAAAAGTGCCTTATTAACTTCTGTCTTTTAATAAGAAAACACTCCAGACATTATTTTATTGAACAGATTTTCCTGAAGAAATAGAGGATAAAAAGGCAAATCTAAGACTTTAAAATAACATCCTACCACATTCTTTTTCTTCCCTCCCTCCTTTCCTCCTTTTCCTTCCTCCCCTCCCTTCTTTCCCCTTTCCCTCCCTCCCAGGCTGGCTCCTTCCCTCCTTCCCTCCTTCCCTCCTTCCCTCCTTCCCTCCTTCCCTCCTTCCCTCCTTCCCTCCTTCCCTCCTTCCCTCCTTCCCTCCTTCTTTATGTGATCTTGTGTTTTATGGCCAAAAAATTGTTTATACCCTTCAGTTGCAAAGAAAACTAAAAGAAATTTTATGATAGCTATAAAACTAATGTAAAATGCCGCAAAGTAGACTTAAATGATGAATATTGTCATTGAGAATATTTAAAAAGTATGCCTCTGGCTCTTAAAAAAAATTCTGAAAATCTCTAAGCATTTGGAGCTCTAGCAGCACCCTTATGACATATATAGTCTCCAAGGTGCCTACCTGGAGGTGAATAACACACATTAGAGTATGTAAAATTTAGTTGGTAAAAAATATTCATCCATTCTATTGACTTTGTTACTACTCTACTTTTATGAATTTCCTGTCATATCCAAAATGATCTATCAACTAATTTTATCCAGAAACATCTTAGACTGCTAAACCATGCTGTTCAGTTTGTCTTCCAAATTCCTCTAAGGTTGTGTCAGACGTTTTGACAGAGCAAACCAATCACAACTTGGGCTGGAGTGCAGCAAATGGGTAACTTACTGTTACTTGTTTCAGAGTTATTTAAATAATGAGCTGAGATTGAAATGGAAATTAAAATATATATGTATATTTAAGTTTATAATTTGTAATGTGGTGATACAAATGAGTTATAAACCAAGTAAGTCACAGAATAAATATTGCGATCTGGAATGGAAGCCTAGTAAAATGACATCCAGAATTAGCAAATAAAATAGTGCTTCCAGTTCTGAAGCATGTTTGAACAGATGATAAAATCTGATTTGGCAGTTACAACATATTGTGGTTTAAATTGACCATTGTCAGATCTTTTGGTTAATTGAGACTCTAGGAGACAACACGGTTTGATCATGTACTGTTTCATGATTTGGACACATTGATTTCACCTTACAAATATTGGCTGTCAATTGAATTCCTCTTCAACTCTTTCTCAGAGGTCATTCTTTCTCCTTTTGATTTTTTTTTTTTTTTTTAATTTTATAGGTTCAGCACTTCTCTTTTCTATTCTGTCACTTTGTAATAATGATATTTTCTGGCTATCGACTGGATGTCATACTTCTTAATAAAAGCTGACTTATCTCTTCCTCCTTAAGTGCAGCAATAGACACATCCTGATCGGGGTCTGCTGAAGCATTTTATCATAGCTGGGAAATCAGGAACTGTGGATTAGCAGCTCTGCTAATGTGCAAATAAGAAAAGAGCTAAAGCATTGCATGTCACATTTTCTGTCTTAGTACATGTCTTTAGATATTCATAGGAATCTTAAAAATGTACATAATCAAATGTTCGATATCAAGATTTAAAAAGAAATAGCAAATAATATTTTGAAAATGAATGGATATATCATTTTGCCAGAAGAAAATGGTCAATGTTCTTTAAAGTTTTCCACCAAATAATTAATGGTTTTATTAGAAATGTTCCTAGAGCAGGCATGTACTTTGCAACATAGCTAAATCCATTAGGCAAAGAGAGAAGCAGGAACAGAGTCACAGTATCAAAGTTTGCATTTTGAATATAATGGTACACAGATCAGATGTTACCAAAATACACAGCTTTAAGGTTTGTCAGTGGCTAAGTGGCTAAAAATTATCAAGCTTCTTCAATGAAATTATGTAAAACGTTCCTCAGCAATCTACTCTATAACATACAGACTTTGAGTAATTTCTTTCTATAGCTTGCAAAAATGGAAGAATTTCTTGAAAATGCATGCATACTAATTGCCATTGTTTGTTTTAATTTCTTTGATAGAATTCTAATTCCAGTATTTTAAGAAACGCTATACTGTTTTCATTGTCTTGCAAATACACCTTCAATTCAAAACATTTTTCTTTTAAAAAGGAAGGGGTTTGGGATCTAGAATAATAAAATTACAGATATACTAAACCCTTCTTAATCAAAGTCACTTCTGTGTTCTTCACATTTGTAGGTATAATATGTTAGAATTTAAGAAAGCTTAACTTAGATTCAAAGACGTTTTCAAACCATCTATCTTTTAAAAATTGATTTTTAGATACATTGTGAACATTCAAACTTGGCTTCTAAGAGGTTAATGTTATATACCTTTTCATAAACATAACTGTTACATTTAAAAAGATCTCTTAATCCAATCAAATGAAGAAGGGAGAAATCATACTCCAATAAGACATATATAGATATCGGGGCAGAAGAGTTGAGTTACCAAAGCCTGGGAAGTATCATCACCGCTCCCATCAGAGTAAATGTCATTGACTCAGTTGCTGCTGTACATCCTGCTCCAGTTGTGTCAAAAGTACTATCACCATCTGTTTGATGGATTTGCTTTATATCACTGAGGTTCATCTCCTCTGGCATCCCTGCAGAGGCAAATAAGAAAACACAGGATGATGCATGACCACCTAAATCATGATAAGTCTAGAACAACTCTTAAAGCCAAGGGTAGACACCATTGTTTTTTCATAGCATTCTCCATGTGTTCCCCTAACCCTAAATGGTTAATGTGATACAGGCATTTCTGCTCTTCTTAAACTGGAGAGTACAAGCCCTTGAATGAGGGTTCTCAGAAATATTATAAAAGCAAAGTGAAATGCTATCTTCCCCCAGCTTCTTAAAACATTTGGAATATTTCCCTAATGTCATTGATTGGTTAAAAAATAGTTAAAAAATTTAATTAAAATTCTCTGAGATATGACATCATTGTTTGTCTCAGAGATGTAACAGTAGTAACTACATGACATTTTTTTCCCATGAAAATAAAACAACATAAGGAGAAATAATTAAATAGGGCATTTTTTTAAAAGTAGAATTTATACAGATTATATTTTATTTGAGACTAAAATATACATAGAATCCTTATTGGAAATATATCAAAGAATAATAACTAGTATGAAAAGACTTCCTTTATATATATACACACAGCTGTGGGAATGGAGGTGCAGACATCTGTCAATAGATCAAAAAAATTGTTAATAAGGTGGTTTGGGGCTGAAGTCAGGGTTGAAATGTTTGATAAAAATATAAAAGTGGGCACTATTGACCAAGATGTAGTCATTCTGGTTATTAGTTCTCTGTGTTTTGAAACTTGACAACCTGAGGAGGACAGAGCCCCCAAATTATTGGGGTGAAATAATAATTTTCTTAAAGGAGTTTAATATACTTAGAGAATTACTAACTTATTACTTATTATCTAGTGCCATCAATGTTCTGAGGCCATGTGACTGAATTATCTCATAGCACGCCACTATCAGTCACAATTAAGTTTAAATTTAATGTCAGTGCAGCCACAAATATTGACATTGCAATTATAATGAGACTAAAAAAAAAAAGCTTCATATAAGGAAAAGTCAATATTTATGTAATTAGGTCAATACATGTATATAATTCAGGAGATAAGCTCTGCTACATTCAGAGCATTAAAACAAAGTGCAGCTCTACTGATCTGCCATATTGATTTTATAGTCTGAGCTCTTGCATCATTATTCATTGTTTGGATACTTGTTTTGCCTTTCTATATCATTAGGCAAGATGCATAAACCGGTGATTCTTTTTTAATAAGGACTAGAGTGTAAATATTTTTAGTCATGGTTTTATACTTCTTGTTATGCTAGAGCTTAAGAAGAAGTTAGGAGAACTCTAGACAATTAAAAAAGTTTTTTTCTAAGGTAACTAAATAAATTTTAACTTTAAGGGATTTATTTTTCCTTTTTAAGGCACTGTAAAGAGGTACACAGATTGTATTCATGAATGACTTTTAAAAATGCCTTTTTGAGCTTTTATTCATTCATGAGGTAGGCACTGGTCTGAGTTTAGACAATACAATCATGTGTAAAAACATGTAAGTAGGAGGTCAAATCTTATGCCTGTGAGTTAGGCAATGCCAGGAGGAGTATCTCACCTTCAATCTGATGCCATTTTAACAACTGAGGTAGAGATGTTGCTTAAAATTATAAGAGTCCCAAGGAAGGTGGTCCCTTGAGATTAGAATATGAAAAGAATTGAAGACCCCTTCAAAAGCCTGGCAGTCAAGGCTGCAGTTTCGAATCAAATCACAACCTTGCTTTGACATCTATTAAAAAATCTTAGCATTGCAAAAAGTCTAGCCCCACAATTTGATGCAATGATTGTTTCCTTAAAGGAATATAATTAGCTAAGCTTGTAAATTATATCAAAGCTTAAGCAAAGACTTATAAAAGAAAATTAGTTTTGGGATTTATTAGATTAACAAATTAAACAAAAACAAATGAATTTTTGAATAATCTTTTCTATGCATAATAGTCACATACAAAGATGCCAATAAATTCATATTTCTCCCCTTGGTGGCTTACAGTTTGGTAGGGGAAGACAGTCATGTTTTTACAAAAATAAATATAATATTAAAATGGGTACATGCCTGATGGTTGGTGCTATAAAGTATGTAAAAGGGATGTAACTATGTTGGAATGCGACACGAAGGAAATTTCAATGTTGAGTGATTTATTTGGTAATATCTACAGAGCATTTGCTGTGGTGCCAGTACTGTTCCAAGTACTTCACAAATATTAACTTGTTTAATTCTCACAACAGTTCCAGGTAGTAGTATAGTTATTATGCCTGTTTTTATAGATGAGGAAACCAAGGCACTGGAAGGTTAAGTAACATGTGAGTAGTGGAGCCAGGCATCAAGTCTGGACACAGCCTGTGTTCTGATCACTGGCTGTGCTGGCTCCTAGTGCTTGGCTGGGTACCAAGAAATCAATATTTAAGTTGGAAATAAACAAAAAATTATGTTGTCCAGAGAGTTTCACTAAGAGAATTTTTTCTCCTTGATCTGGGTTGGCTGATTATGTGCTAGTTTTGTGTATTAATCAAGCAAATGGAAGTATTCAGGATTAGAATTCCTGTGTGCAAGTAAACCATGATGAGTCAGAATGGCTTGATGAATCTCAGAATTATAGCTTCTTTTGTCATTTATATACTGGCCTTTCCCTTGAAGCAGGGAATGTGGGTATTTCTAACTTTTTATTTATTCTGTCTACATATTTTAAAAATTCTTAGTTTTACTAAACAACAAAAACTATGTTTAAAGTTAATTTCTATTTTTAATAAGGAAAATTGCATGGGTAAGAACTTAATATGGTCACTCATTCACAAAACTTACCTATTTCTGACTCTGTCAGGTACTGTGCTGGAGACTAAATATATACTATGCACTTACAAGCTTTTTCTTCATACTTTGAGTCTAAAAAAAAAGCCAGCAGGTATCTTTTCCATAGAAGGGCAGATTTAAGTATTAGAAACAAGACTAGAGGTCATTATTTAAATTCAATAAAGTCAAAATAATTTACCTCAAGAAATTATCTCTCTTCAAGGTAGCTATAACTATGATACCTCAGAAAAGAAAGCCTATTAAATAGTATGCTTTTAATGAATATTGTGGGTATTGTGGAATGGATACATAGAATAATGACTCTCATTCTTGTAATAGTAGGATGAGGTAGGTACAGTTATTTTTTCTCATTCTACAAATTTGGAACAGGTGCAGAAGAAGTAATTTATTCAAGGTAACACGGTTCTGGCTGAATCTCTGGTGTGTTCCAGTCAACTGTGGTTCTCTCTTTTTTTTCTGGAACTACGCTTTTTGCCATTCAATTACAGAATTAAACTTGCAGTCACTCTGCTAGCCACAGTCTGGCTGGATGACTTTAGACATGACTCCTGTTTTATTAAACTTTAAAATGAGAGCATTTTCAGTGAGAGAAAGGTTAGTCAAAATAAAGTGCTGCTTAAATGATTAAATAAATATTTGAAAAATAAGCAAGAGTTTTATTACACAACATTCTCTAAGTGCCTATGGGACCGAAGACAAGTATAAATGATGAAGAGGCAAACAAAATATATAGGCTGATATTTTTATTTATGTTTACATAGTGAAAAGCACATTGATTTTTAGGCAGAATATAAAAAAATATAATTTTAACTTCATAAAAAATACTTCTGTATAACATGAAACAGCATTAAAAAAGGTAAGGGACAAATCACAAAATAGAGAAAATAATGCAGTGTATAGTGCAGCAAAAGGATAATATCTTTAACACAGAATGAGTTTTCATAATCCACATGAAAACCAAAATGTTCTCATAGAAAAATTGTGCAAAGAAATAAAAATTTACAAGAAGAATTATCTATATAAAAATATTAAAAACCTTCTTTACTAAAAAGCCAATAAATACAATCTCATACATGATGACGTGTCAATTATCTAATGTCTATCTGAAAGGCAGGGCAGAGAGGAGATGATAGCCAGTTTTGACAAGGTTATAACTTTTTTTTTAAGGAAATTAGCCAAAATATATAAAAAACTGTTTAAAATATACATTTACCTAGACTCAAATTAGATTCACTTTTATGAAGCAACAATATGGGAATAATTAAGAAAATACGCACATATTTATTCACAAAATGTCAATCTGTGCATTGTTAGTGAAAAATCATGGCCATTAAGTGTCCATTAGTAGGGAATTGAATTAAGAAAATTAATTCACCTACTTATTTAAAAAATTCAAAAAGTAGATATTTATTGGTACAGCAGAATGTTTTAATATAATTATATATATATGTGTATATATATATACTTTCATAATCTTTAAGGTTCTTTGAACACTGCTAACCAATGGCTTCACTTCCTCGAAGGTAGGAAATCCCTCATTAATTTCTGTATTCACCTAGTAAGCATTTAGTAATAATTAGGTGAATGCTAAATTGATGAATTTAACCCAGGACAGAGAATTACAAAATTATAAAGATATGATTCTCCAATTTAGTTTTTTTTCTGTTTTCTTTTTTTCTCCAAGCTTTATTGATATATAATTGACTTACAACATTGTGTAAGTTTAAGGTGTACAACATGATGATTTTGATATATATTACATAATGATTAGCATCATAGTTTTAGGTAACATCTCTATTATGTTGCATAATAATTACATCTTTTTTATGGTGAGAACATTTAAGATCTAATCTCTTAATGACTTTCAAGTATATAATACAGTATTATTAGCTATAATCACCATGCTTTATATTATATTTTCAGAACTTATTTATCTGGTAACTGGTAGTATAACTTTTGACCAACATCTTCCCATTTATCCCATTCGCCAGCCCCTGGTAACCACCATTCTACTCTGCTTCTATGAGTTTGGGTTTTTTTAGACTCCATGTATAAGTGAGGTCATACAGTATTCCTCTTTCTGTCTGACTTATTTCACTTAGAATAATACCCTCAAGGTTTTACATCCAAGGTGTTACAAATAGCAGAATCTTCTCTCTCATGGCTGAATAATATTACATTGTATATATACCTCATTTTCTTTATCTATTT